TTTTGTGTATTTTCATCGGAATTAGATTATTTACCACTCTTTCAAAAGTTCAGAGCATGAGAAGTAAAAAAAAGGTTTAATTACGTCAAGAACAGACCAAATTACAAGCCTTCAAAGATAGGCATGTCAGGCGGCAACCTGGCAAATTTTGCAACGTTGGGGAGTGTACCTTGGCGGGGAATTCATTTTTCTGGATTATCTTTGCGGCTTTCTTCAAGCTAGCCCAGACTCTACTAGTCAGCAAAAAATGAAAAAAATCTGAATGCTGTAAAACATTGAAAGCGTTGAAAAAAATAGCAGAAAGTGAATTCCGTCCCTTTCTCTTTCTTTTCAACGTTGACATTCTTCTCAGTTAAGTCTATTTCCACGACAATATTTTTGCAAAAAATCTTATTATTCCTCCCAAGTTTTTACGATTTCTGGCCGTTACTGGTGTTGCTGCTGTCGCCGGCGTTTGCCCTAGCAGCGATTTATACACTTTTTTCTTTAAAGCCAGTAAAGGAGGAAAGAAAAATGCGTCAAACTTGCAATCGTTAATGTATAAGCGAAATCAATCAGTCATTCATTCAACTGTTTAGTCAAACTTTCTAAGGCCTAAAAAGCAACTTAATTTTTACTTTTTGTTTTTTCACGTGAAAGCAATTGCCTTCATCTATGATGTCATGCAAATACACTCACAAAAAAAAAGACGGAAGAAAAAGCACCAACTTTTGGATGACAAGATTGTAAGGACTAAAATTCATTTTTGAAACTACTGATTCAAATTTTTCTTTAACTTTTCACTTGTCTACGAAACGGTGAAAAGAATGAAAAAACTGACAGTCAGCAAAGAAAGATATTCAGCCGCTTTTTGTGTAATGAAAAGAAAACATCACTTCTTTTAGTTTAATAAACATTTAAAGACGTTTTTTAACATTCAGTCAAGCTTAGAAACGACTGCAATCTAATGGCTACATTATCTATTTTTTATATTTCCAAAATTCGATAATCCTGCATTTTTAAACAGACAACAAGTCCAGCGACCTACGAAATTGTCTAGATTAGTAATCCAGTGATTGTTCCAAAGAAAAAAAAAAACAGATATTCTAAATCGAAAAAAAGCATGTCTAGGCAGAAAATTTTTTAGAAAACTAAACCAGACTATAATTACACGCTAAAAACAAAGATATAAAGCAATTCCAATCAAAACTGCACACTTTTTAAATGATTTCTCAGATTTTTTTCATTCTCCGCCAATTTTTGGGCCACTGCACCCGACTGCGAAATTAAAACAGTACCTCAAAAAAAGCGCTAACGGCAAAAATAGACTGTTCTAAATCGCGACAAAAGATGCAACTTTTGCTAAACACGGTCGTCTTAGTGAACTCCGTAGTTTCGTTCGTTCAGAACAGGTTTCTTCAGTTTAATACTTATTTAAAAGCTTGTCTCCAACAGATCCAGAGAAGCGGTGAGACCCTTATAACCAGCAAATTATGCAAAAGACTAGAATGAAAATAAGAGTATATAAATTGAATGCGTTTTTTTAGATTTTTTAAAAAAGATACATTTTTAAAGACATAACATCTTTATAGTACACTAAAGTTACAAGATAATACCTCAGTGGTATCATTAGTTACGATGGGATTAATGGGGTAAAGCTGCAAAAAACTTCGGGGTGATGCAGCATTTTGATGCCTCTGCAAGTGGCAGCGTTCAACTGATCCATCACTATACTGTAACGTGCTTTACTATGGCTAACCCAGTAACAGATATCCAATTGAAAACTTCTTTCTAATCTCGAATATTTACACAGAATTTTCACGAAGGTCATTATAATAATTAATTTTCAATTTATACAGCCTCAGTTTCCAACTAAACTCTTCTCACTCAAACGTTTTTCACTTACTGCTGGTTGTCGACAGTGAATATTGCGGTACTGTAGCCCTTCCAGCAGCACGTTGTATAAAGCAACGAATTTTTGTGCAACTGCGACGTAGAGGTTTGTAAAGGAGTGTTTTCTGTCATTCCTTCCACACTGCAAAATGCTAATTTTTTTAGTTCCTCTGATGCTAAACACTTGGTTCTTCTTATTTCCGCATTGCGCCGTTATAGCCTCATCCGAAAATCAAGTAACTTCCTTCAAACTCCACGTGTTCTTCAGAAACCTTAACAGGTGGTTTTATGAAGAATGTAGTTCCGAGCAAAAGACTATACAGACCAAAACGAGGTTGTAGAAAAAAGCAGCGTACACGGAATCTTCTTTCAAACAAACTATCCACATTTGTGCAACCACCACACCTGAGCAGCTTTTAGAACCACCACCACAGTCCTCAGCAAAGTCACGAGGCCGTGCACATTTGAGACGATTACAGCTGATTGCTGTTTGCTGTTAGCAATCAGCAATAATTGTCACAAGTTTGAGTTAAGACAATCTGATGACGGACTAAAGTGGTGAAGATAAAAAAAGTGGCCAATCTGGTTATCCTTGAAAAATTTTTTTCAAAGTTATTGAGCAGCAAAAATTTCTGCCCAGTTACCTGTTGCTGAGTTTGTTGTTGCGAAGCATGTTACACTGTGGTAATTTTTTGGTAAAAAGCAGGGCAGTATCACTTTCAGGAGCTGCTAAAATACTGCCTCAGCCGGAGAATTTCTTACAGCCTCCCCTCACCAATCGCATCGTAACTCTTGACGTCACAAAGATACTGTTTTCAAATTTTAATATATAATAAAAAAATTATGTCTTTGAAAATACACTCTTTCAAAAATTTAGAATAGCTCATTCTTATAAACAGTGTTGTAAATTTCTGCTTCTGCTTTAATTTTTCATCTACTTCGTTAATAATTTTATTTCAACACTGTTTTAAGTCTGTGACTAACTAAATTACAGAAGAAAAAAGTTTCAAAATCTATTCTGAACGAACAAAATTACAGGCCTTCAAAGATGCATGTTTAGCGAGAACTGCATCTTTTTCAGCAATTTAGAACGATCTAACTTTGCCACCTGTGCTCTTTTTGAAAAACCCTCTCTTGATTCCACAGTTAGGTGCCAAGTCCTTTGAGTCAGCTAAAAGTAAAAGGGATACGAGAGGCCAATTAAAAAAATTGTGCTACTTGACTTGGGATGGCCCATTACAGGATATACAAAACGGTACAGCAAACTTAGGGAAAAACAAAAAAGAAAAAAAAAGTGAAGTATAAGCTACAAATGACACCTTGAAAGAAGAACGAATTATTTTTCGGTCAAAGCACTTCATTTTCACTTCCTATTCTTCGTCAAGCATTTGAAAGTATTTTACGCAAAAGTATTACTGCTTCTGTTGAACTATTGTATTTAAACTAATGTTCTACACCTGAGCAACATGGTACCAATCAGCAAGATTTCTCTAGCAAAAAATTTTGAAAAACATAACCAAAGAGAGCAAAGAGAAAAGAAGAAGACAAAAAAAGCAGTGTAAGAATAGCAGAGCAAGAAGAAAAAATAATTAAGTCTGAAACCTTGTTAACATTTCGCATCGCTGAGAAAACGCAGTAATAGGTGAAAAGAATTGTTAACACAGAAGGCACAACAGTGAGGAGAGCCAAAGTAATAAAATAATATGTTGCCGTCGACCAGTGAAAGATACATAATTCAACAGATTGATTATACGTTACCTGCAAAGAAAAGAGAAACGAAAATGTTAGCTGCTTTTTGAATAGAAATGAAAGGAAGATTAGAAGTAATTTTTAAATTGACGTTTACTACAGGATTCTGACTGAAGTCAACAACAGCATATCACTGAATTGAATTACTCAGAAATAAATTCATCTCAAATATCATAGGATTTCTATAAGCTTACTGAACAATCACTGACTTAACGAAGTGCCTTTAGAACTCAACAGTTACTCACATGAGTGATTAAAATGGGCAGTGGCAAAAGCGTTGAAGTAACCCATGTGAAGATAATCCAACAGATACATTTAGTTAACGTCTGTTCGACTTCATATCTGAAAAATTAATGAAGAAGTAATGTCATTTAAAAACAATCTTTCAAAAGTTCAATTTTGCGGAAGTACATGAAAAACTTGCAACATAAAATGTTTCTTTGTGAAGCATTACTGTACAGTGCAACAATTCATCCCGCAAATGTAATGTATCTTCAAAAAATCTTCCGCTTCCGGTTTAAAAAACCTCCAATTTATTAAATTATATATTGCAAAAAATCAAATAGAAATCCATCGACATCATTATTCCATGTCAAACATTTGTCGTTCAAAGCTTCACACCCATACAAAGACAGAAAATAAATTTACATACAGCAAAAATGAAATTGTAAATTTAAAGTTTGTTTCGTGACCGTTGTTATGGTGAATTTTATCCAGCTTTCTTTAAGTTCCCCGCAAAAAAGATTATCTGAAAGCAATTCCTAGAATAAAATTTCAAATAAAAAAATTCTGCACAACTAATTTCAGCATTCTACGGCAATTCTCTTCCGTTTTTCATTAAAAAACTACTCGCGCAAGTCAGAACGATATTTAGCAGTTCCTGCTGTTTTTCTTTACAATTGTTGCTTCTTTAGTGATTAAAATTTCATGAAGTTGCACCGTCCTAAAGATATCTTTTATACTCTTTCATCAATCACGGTAGAAAAAACCGCTACAACCATACGAACCAGAATTACACCGATTGAAAAAAAAATAAGAGTTTATACAACTAGCTATGCGAACTAATACAGTGTGCAAGCAACTAACCTATAGTGAAATCAACAAAGCCAACTGTGCACCTTGCAGCTCAAAGATAACAACACAAAACAATTAAAATCTATACAGAAAGAGCTAAGAACGTAAAGTGACAAAATTATGAAAAAACAGCTTACCTTTGCGGTCTCTTCAATGCAGCATAACGATCAACACCGATCCAACCGTACGTATATGCTGCATTAACGATTAAAGCAGCTTCAATAAAGGCAGAACATTTGCACGACGGTGAATTATCACCCATAAAATGCCAGTCTGGCACTAAGGTACTGTATAAACTGGCTGGAACGACTAGTATTGAACATAATAAATCCACAGCCGATAATGACAACTAAAGAAGAATCCATATTTACTGTATGCAACAAAGTATGTAGTGTTCTCACAGAGTAAATTAGTAAAATAATTCAACTCTATTCCAATAATTCAAAAAATTTCAGAAATCCTAAAAGTGCTTTCTTCCACACAATACACAGTTTTACTTTTTGTTGCAACACTTTTTAGTCGTGCTTGTTTTGACTCTTCTTAATTTTTTCCCTCTGCTTCTAATACATCTGTACTAATCGAGCATTTACAAAATGCTGAACAAATCCAAGAGGAGAAATCTGTGTATCAAATTCGAAAAAGCAAACTGTTTGGGCAAAAAGAAAAGCATTTTTTGAATCCATAACTGAGTTTAAGCGCAAACTGGCCATTACATACATCAGTTGGAAATGTGATCGGTAGTCTCAAGCACTTATAATGATATAATTTCCCGATAACGAACTAACAAAACTGAATTCACTTCAGCCAAAAAATAGGAGTCTATTTGCCTAAGCAAACTTAGTAATGATCACCGTGATTATTTGAGCATACTGGTAAAATTTCATAGTTCCCTTCAAAAAAATAAAAAAGAAAAAGAATTCAACAAAACTAAGCAAAGCAAAGCAAAAGAAAACAAAAAAGAAAGATAATATATTTAGTACAATTAAAAATTGTTGCTCTAAGTTTAGCCGTCGTAACTTTTTGGTCACTGTCGACTGACTTTTCAGAAAAAGTTTGGAATTTCATCTCAAAATCTTTTTGCATTTTAAAAGAGATTCAAGGAAGAACAACTGAACGTGTAAAGAAAAAATAAATCATCCTTTGATCTCAATAAGTTGTTGTATAATTGACCATGCTTATTTATACAGATATCATGAAGTGGATAGTTTACTACTGAACTTTGTCAACAATAAAACAGTATTACGAAAATTATCGATCTCTCCCATTAACCAAAGCATTTTGTGCTGTATATTGTTTTAGGCCAGCCTTCTTCACTAAAGCCCTTCACTCCTTCAACCCAACAATGCCTTTCAGTTCTATAACCCAGTGCCGAAGAAATTTAATCCAAGCTTCTCCAACAAAAGCATAAACAAGAAAAAGCCTGTACTCGATTCTCTGTTTTTTATGTTTAAGATGTCTTCTAACAAATGACTAAACCAATCTCTTCTTTTTCTTCCTCAGCACTTCTTAGACAGCAATCTGTTTGGCCAGAAAATAATACTTTTAAGCCAAGAGAAGTGATGATCAAAAGACTTCACTAATGTAGTATTTACGTTCAAAAACCTGATGACGGCG